GATTGATTTCAGTAATTCCATTTAAAAAGTGAAACTTGTATATTATATTCATACATTACATACAAACTCATATATTTCAGATGTTTATTTTGTTTAATTTTGATGATTACAAATGACAACAAATGAAAATCTCAAATTCATCATATCAGAAAATTAGAATATTGTGAAAAGGTTCAAAATTGATGGCCCCTGGTGCCACACTCTAATCAGCTAATTAACTCAAACCACCTGCAAAAGCCTTTAAATGGTCTTTCAGTCTAGTTCTATAGGCTACACAATCATGGGGAAGACTGCTGACTTGACAGTTGTCCAAAAGACGACCATCGACACCTTGCACAAGGAGGGCAAGACACAAAAGGTCATCGCTAAAGAGGCTGGCTGTTCACAGAGCTCAGTGTCCAAGCACATTAATAGAGAGGCGAAGGGAAGGAAAAGATGTGGTCGAAAAAAGTGTACAAGCAAGAGAGATAACCGCACCCTGGAGAGGATTGTGAAACAAAACCCATTCAAAAATGTGGGGGAGATTCACAAAGAGTGGACTGCAGCTGGAGTGAGTGCTTCAAGAACCACCACACACAGACGTATGAAAGACATGGGTTTCTGCTGTCGCATTCCTTGTGTCAAGCCACTCTTGAACCACAGACAGCGTCAGAAGCGTCTTGCCTGGGCTAAAGAGAAACAGGACTGGACTGCTGGTGAGTGGTCCAAAGTCATGTTCTCTGATGAAAGTAAATTTTGCATTTCCTTTGGAAATCAAGGTCCCAGAGTCTGGAGGAAAAGAAGAGAGGCACTTCATCCACGTTGCTTGAAGTCCAGTGTAAAGTTTCCACAGTCAATGATGGTTTGGGGTGCCATGTCATCTGCTGGTGTTGGTCCATTGTGTTTTCTGAGGTCCAGGGTCAACGCAGCCACATACCAGGAAGTTTTAGAGCACTTCATGCTTCCTGCAGCTGACCAACTTTTTGGAGATGCAGATTTCATTTTCCAACAGGACTTGGCACCTGCACACAGTGCCAAAGCTACCAGTACCTGGTTGAAGGACCATGGTATCCCTGTTCTTAATTGGCCAGCAAACTCTCCTGACCTTAACCCCATAGAAAATCTATGGGGTATTGTGAAGAAGAAGATGCAATACACCAGACCCAACAATTCAGAAGAGCTAAAAGCCACTATTAGAGCAACCTGGGCTATCATAACACCTGAGCAGTGCCACAGACTGATCGACTCCATGCCACGCCGCATTGCTGCAGTAATACAGGCCAAAGGAGGCCCAACTAAATACTGAGTGCTGTACATGCTCATACTTTTCATGTTCATACTTTTCAGTTGGCCAACATTTCTATAAATCCTTTGTTTTTATTGGTCTTCAGTAATATTCTAATTTTCTGATATGATGAATTTGAGATTTTCATTTGTTGTCATTTGTAATCATCAAAATTAAACAAAATAAACATCTGAAATATATGAGTTTGTATGTAATGTATGAATATAATATACAAGTTTCACTTTTTAAATGGAATTACTGAAATCAATCTACTTTTTCATGATATTCTAATTTTATGACCAGCACCTGTAGGTGCCTATTTCACCTGACTGGAACCAGAGATTTTAATGCAGAAATGCAAAAAAATAAAATAAAAAAGAATGTGTTTAAGATAGACATACAGTGCTACAGCTACAAAGGAGAGGAGGGTGGCGAAGGAGAAGATTGTTCCTCGAGTTAATGCGTAAGTTTATATGAAGTGGACTATGGCAAGCCATTTTTACATTTATTGCACTCCAATCTATTGTTTGTAGATCACTAAAATAAGATTCTTCCTGATCATATTAACACTCCTAGTCCTAACTGTAATAATATATTTTATAAATTATATTTTTGTAGCAGAAATTGAATTTTAGAACGTAAAACAATTACGCTTTATATATCTAGAAATGTTTACACATTTTAATTCGCCCTTCATACATTTATCAGCTTGACTGAAAATGTATTTATAATATCTGAAAAACATCTTTTTATTGTTGAAATAATACAAATGCTGACCAGTAATATTCGGAATATAGAAATCTGAAATTAATTTCTAGACATCCAGAATGTTTATTCTAGATGTGGAGAATATTGTGGAGATTTTGTTTGAAACGGTCATTTAGACAAAGATAAAATATTTGTTTTCGGATATCAGGAACACATATTCAGTAAAACTAGTACATATCAAAACGGCTTGCCATAGCTGTTACAGTGAAAATATTATGGGATTATTTCTTGAATGGTAGTAGATCAATGTATCTAATTAGGTGAAATCAGGCAGCAGGTGGGGATGAAGTCTAAAGATGTTGTTTTAATATATAGAACCGTGGATCATCTCATGGGTCCCTCCTCACGTTAAATCTGTCTTCTTTTACACAGTAAAGTGTCTTTTTGCAGACAAATGGCCGTTATAAATGCTTATAAATCCCATAGAATGGCTTCAGATTGTGCCAGTAGGCTCATTAGGTTATCATCAAGTGAATCCTAATCCTAACCCTAAAGTAATTCCTTTTCCCCCATGGAATTAATTACTCTATTTAGGTTTAAGTTGTTAATGTACTTTAGATATAACTAAATAAAAATAAAATGATCAGCATCTCACTCATATAAAAAACAAAAACAAACAAGTAATCTCATGCCCTGTCAACTGAGTTGTAGAATCCTCTCCCTATATATATTCAATTCCCTGTGAAAAAGTTGATGGGGATGTCATTCTTTAATAAGATCCTCGTCAAACGGACATGCAGTGCTTGTTTTTAAAACCTAATGTGTGTAACGGACCTAGTGAACAAAATTAGGACAAAAATCTGACTAACCCAGGAAATAAAACAGCGTGATTGGCTGTATCAGAGCAGAGACATAGGACGCTCGGAGTTTACTGAAAAAAACCTGCTATCAACCAGGTTAGCTGTGGGGGGGATTGTTACTACGGTGACTGAAACAGAGGTTGAATAAACTCCGTTTGTGAACCGGAAAAGTCAGAGTTTCCCCGTTTTCAGATTGAGACTATTTTTTTAGGTAAACCTGCTTCATGAAACGGACCCCTGATGTTGAAAGCTTTAAGTGGTTGTAAGGGATGTAGATAAGTGTTTTAAGTCGTTATTTGCAGTTTAATTTACTTTTATTGATAACAATCTTCTATTTCTTTAAGCACAGATATGCATGGGACATCACTTCTGTCAAATCATCCAGAACAGCTGCACATCTTTTTCCCTGAGCAAGTTTTCTTTTTAAATAACTGTAAATCATTATTTTCTCTATTTTGCTCATTTGCTCTGACGGTATAATCGCTTACTCTTGTTTGTGTTTTACATTTTTGACCCTTGAGGGAATTTGAGTACTTCCATTTACGTGCTGGGAGACATTAATACTTCAGCTTTGGAGAAATCTTTCCATTTTAATTCAATCATTTCTGATTTAAAATCTCTATTGCTCACCTGGCACAGTAAGATCCTTTCAGTAGTGAGTCATCACTATTGGACAAGGATAAGGACACTGAAATTCAAAGGAGCGTGGTAAATGAGGCAGTTCTAGCAGGAAATCTGTTCCAATATTTTCTATTGTCGGTCTGCCCTTATTCAGCTTTGGTGATAAGCAGGCAAATTAACATGTTTTTATTTTTTCATTAATATTTAACTTTGCCATGCCTGTAAACATTTTTTGGAAAACCTGGCCAACAATATAAGTTTATAACAAAATTTATAGATCTACTGAAACAAAACAACTAGACACACAAAACCTTCTTCTTGAGAGTAATCAAAGAAAAAAGCAAAAGAAACTAATCCAGACGTGCAAAGGTCTTTTCCATCCACCAAACATCTCTCAGCAGATCACACAGCTATATGCTAAGCTCTCTAAATGCTGCTTAATTCCAACGTTTACGAATGAACCAATTCCTTATTCTTGACCAATAACATGACAATAGGCTGCAACTAATAAATATTTTTCTTATCGATTAATCTATCGATTCTTTTTTTTTGATTAATCGATTAATAATCGGATAGCAAAAGTTTCCTTAAAGAAGATATTTTACTGCATTAAACCAGGTGCAACTAAAACTTTTCCACTTGAGGAGTTCTCGATAGAGCATATTGACAGACGAAAAAGATTTTTGTCTTAAATAAAACATTTTTTTTTTTTTTTTTTTTACAATTTTAGTATAATTGCTGCTCAATGTGGGTTGCTCTGTCACCTGTAGGCATGTTTAAGAGGGTGTAAACTCCAATTAACGTTTAATCAGACAATAGTGACAGTGGCGTGGGATGGAGCCCTGAAATAAAAAATTTGACGGTTCAAGCCCTCTGGCTTTCAGTGTTGTTGTGTTCTTGGCCAAGGCACTTCCCCTGTATTGTCTACTGATTGTGATTTTTTTCAGTAAGCCTCAGGGCAGCTGTTGCTACAATGTAGTTTGCCATCATCAATGTGTGAGTGTTTACATTAATGGGTTAATCACTGATTGTGGTGTAAAGCACTTTGGTCAAGTCCGCTGACTTGAAAAAGCACTATAAAACCCTTAACTCCACACTGCTTCCAAGTGAGGTTAATAATAACAATTATTAAATAAAAGGACTCAATTACTTAGTGTCAGTAATGTTTAATTGGAGTTCAGGTTGTGCAATAAAAATAGTGTAGGCTACTAATTTCGCTTCTACCTTGGGCCGGCCCTGCTTTATGGGCTGGTTCCCATCAGAGCAGCGATAACAGGCAGTGAGCATTTGTTTCCCTCGATACCAACAGGTCCCAGTGATTTAAATCAGGTGGTTTTAGACCCAGGAAGCCAACCAGGCCTGCTCCCTGCTGCTCCGCCGCCAATCTCTGCACTCCACTCCTTAAACGGAGAGGAGGCTTCAACCGCCCACTTCACCCAGGTGGGAAGCCCCCATTAGTAGCCCACCACCTCCTCCTGACAGAGGGCTTTCTGATGGAGGAATTCAGCCCCCCCTCCCCTCCCCTCCCCTCCCACCAGCCAGCTTACCGAGAAGCAACAGTTTGAGCTCCCGCCGCGCGTCCCTCTTATCCCGGCGGAGCTGCCTTTCGATCTCGTCGTTGATCCGCCTGGCTTCCTTCGCCTCCTCGCTGAGGCAGCACGCCATTAGAGATTCCAGGGTCATTCTCGGTCCTACTCCACTTGTTCCCTCCCCCCTTCCCCCTCCTCCAGTCATCCAAATTTCACATTTGTCGGGGAGGGAACCCCATAAGCTTCACACAGGCCGGGATGTTGTGATAAACCGTGTCTGTAGGGAGTCGCACGGAAAATAAGATATCTGAGAGGAATAACCGGAGTCCCCTACCCGCTGTCAGCCTCTTTCATGTGTTTCCGAGCCTCTTGAAAGCTTCAAACGGAGTATAAAGCGGCTTCAGTGGAATAGGTTTGCTCTGATAACTGTTATAATTCCTTCTCCGGATGATCAACAGATCCTTTTAAAACATCCTCCGCTCTGAGCTGCCCTGCTCCGGTAGATTCTCTCTCAAAGTCCTCAGCGATGGTTTCTGGTTTAATTTTTAAATCGCTGAAATACTTCCTTTGTTGCTCCAAGTCACTGACCGTTTAGCCGAGAAAAAAGGGGGGAAAAAACACATGAGCGAGGCTGTCGGTTTGTTTTCCAGCGGCTCTACTCTCCGGGCGTGGTGAATATGGCGGACTTTCACTCCCATCCGCTAGGCTGAGATACAGTACAGTTATCCCCGCTGTCTGCTCGGAAAACCAAGGAAGCCGCTCATAACACAGCGCAGGTCCGACAGGTCGCAGCGAAATTCTATCCGAGTGAGACCTCCTCCCCCTCCTCCCCTCCCAGATATGAGGCGCCCAGGTCAGAGGCTGTGTGCCAGAGGAAGAAGCAGGAATAGGACGCAGTGCTGCTGGCTTTACACCCCGGGCTAATATTATTTTCCTCAATTCTCTTTCTGTATTTTTATTACTCCTCCGTAGGAAGCGTGACGTCTGTCTGCCGTCTGTCTCAAAAGAAAAGCTTGTGAATGGACACGTCTACCACCACCCAAGCAGAGGCGTAGCCAGAAAATTTTTATGAGGGTGGCCAGAAAATAACCAATGTACACTGAGAGGTGGCCGAAAGTGGATAGGTGCCAGAAGCTCAGGGTCAATCTACACTGTTTCAAAAAGACAATGAACAACCACAATATCAGTATTTTCTAAATAACGACAAACTATACTTTCCTACAGCCTTTGCTAACAAATAGACGCATGTAAACATCCATGCTGTTTAAATTAAAGGTGTAGTGGACAAAATTCTTTCCCCTTTAAATTCCGGGGCGAACATCTTATTCATTATCATTATTTACCTACTTTATTAATAATTAACCTGCATAAAATTTATATTGTTCTAATATCTACATTCAAATGATTACTTGCTATTAAAATAGTTATTTATCTCTGGTTTCAGTGAAGATTCCTAGATGACTTGCAGAGACATAATTTTCTCTTTACCCAATATAAGACAAAATCTAGTCCTGAAAAGAGCATGAATGCTGTATTTATCATCTTTAAAGGAATAGTACACCCAAAACATGATTAGCCTTCATTTTCTACTCACCCCCATGCTGAACAACACTCTGGAGTACTTTTTTGATATCTCAAATGCATCTGGAGATCTGGGAGGCTTCTTGCTGTCTTCTGACATTCAAATAATGGAGGTCTATGGTGACCGAGACAGAAAGGTCCATGAAAGTCCACAAAAAACGTGTCAATATTCCTCCATACTGCTCGTCCAATGTATTCCAAGTGTCCTGAGTGGGTAGCATCCAGAATTTACTCGAAACAAAGTCATTTAGAATGTTTTTAGAGCATAAACAGTAGTGTATAGGATTTCCTGAAAGCGCGCACATGCGCGTTCACGACGCTACGGAAGCCGGCAGACCAAACCAGCGTATTCAGCTCGGCAAAGAACTCATGCTCTTCCTCAACACTGAAGTCCTCAGACATTTTTCTTTCGTTGTTTCTTTCTTTGCACAGGTAAACAGCACATTTCTTCTTCTACGCTTGCATTATTGGCAGAGCAGACGCTGAATGCGCACTTTCATCTGGTTTGGTCTGCCGGCTTCCGTAGCGTCATGAGCGCGCATGTGCGCGCTTTCAGGAAATCCTATACACTACTGTTTATGCTCTAAAAACATTCTAAATGACTTCGTTTCGAGTAAATTCTGGATGCTACTCACTCAGGACACTTGGAATACATTGGACGAGCAGTATGGAGGAATATTGACACGTTTTTTGTGGACTTTTATGCACCTTTCTGCCTCTGGCACCATAGACCTCCATTATTTGAATGTCAGCAGACAGCAAGAAGCCTCCCAGATCTCCAGATGCATTTGAGATATCAAAAAAGTACTCCAGAGAATTGTTCAGCATGGGGGTGAGTAGAAAATGAAGGCTAATCATGTTTTGGGTGTACTATTCCTTTAATGTTAGTATATTGATGTGTGCTGATGAAGATTCTCAGTCACTCAGGTCATAGTCATTCCGTAAAAGACATTTGAATTAAGAAAGCTTCCTGGGGGGGGGGAGGGAGAGGCTTTCAAAACTTGGAAACCAAGTCCAGTGGATTGTTTTTTTTTATCTTTTACGGAATACATTGATGTGCATGATTAACCACAGCATTTTTGTTGTCAGGTAATTGTTTACATATAGAAAATTAAAATGTTAAATAAGTTGAAACATTCCACTTGAGAGTATTACTGCTGCCACCGTCTGTATTAGAGGGTAAAAAAATGGTAGGGGTGGCCACAGGGGTGGCCAATGACTGGGTTAGGGTGGCCCTGGCCCCCCACCTAGCTCCGCCCCTGCACCCAAGTTCCAATTTCCCCTAAATCCTCTATCCAGCGTCTCTTCCAGATTGTTTAAGGGAGACCTGATAAATAATACACAAGTTATGGACCTGATTTCAGGAGTTTTATTTACAAAATAATAAAAAATCAACCTTATGCCCAAATTTTGTGCACACAAACATGAACTTCAATCTTGTCACAACGACTGCGTCACAGGCGTAACTTTTTGAAGGACTGGTGGGGACATGTCCTCACCAATAATTTCAATACATAGACGTCGGCTCTCAACAATATGTGGGACAATTTTCTAAATTTGATTTTGCCGCTTTTGAAGGAGGATAATTACTGATGTAGCTGAAAGGGAAAACATCCATCTACCAATCCACGTTTTTCTGAATGGATGATTGAATTAAACTAAAATTGTGTGTATTCTAGGGAGGCATGATATATTGCTGTTGGCATCAGAATTGGCTGTTATTCATCCTCTTTTTTATACATTAATGTCTAAGTATAGACTAAATATAAACATAACTGTATTTTTGTTCTTTTGTGTTCTCAACAATAGGAAAGCACTCAATAAATATATGCTTGAGCTCATTTTTGGAAAATACAAACCCTATTGAAAGCATTTGTGTCAAGTAACTGTAAGTCCATCAGCCACCAACTTTCACCACAAAGCTACACCCTTGGACTGCGTCATCTACTAACCTGTTTACCTGTTAAACAAATTGAGAGGGTGCCTTTTCAGAGATTAAATAAATGGTTTAAACAAGGCACACAGTATCCCTACTCCTTCCTGCTCTTTTTAAGAATTTAGACTTGTAGACATTTTCTCCACTGGTCTGGCTGATTCTCCGGATGATACTGTGTAAGCAGATTCAGATGTGATTAGGTGTAGGAACAAGAAGACAATCATTAATCGTTCAAATTTATCAAGACCATCTAGATGCTTCAACACAAATTACTTAAAGAATTTCATGACCAGAGACCCTGTCTGACAGGTCTGTAGCCATTGAAGTCATTGATGGTGTGTTTTCTTGTTTTTGATGGTGGAGCTTAGCAGTGAGGTGGGGAGGTAATAACTCCCCCTGTGGCCTAACTGTGGAAAAATTAATGCTAAATCGACCTCTCTGGAGCCAAAATGCATCATAAAGTGCCCTCTCTGGAGCCAAAATACAAGTTTAGGGTGCCCCCTTGGGAGCCAAAATGCAGGTAAATTGCCAGCTCTGGAGCCAAAAAGCCTGTTAATTTGCCCTCTCGAGAGCCAACCAAATGTTCAATTGTCCCCTTGGGATACAAAATACAAAATAATTAATTGCCCTCTCATGAGCCAATAAACATGCTTAAGTACCCCCTTTGGAGCTTAAGTGAATTTTAAATTGTCTTTTCAGGGAGCAAAACGTGTGTTAAAGTGCCCCCTTGGGAGCCAAAAATTGTGCTAAGTGGCCGATTTGGAGCCAAAGCGCATGTTAAAAGTCCATTCTTGGGATCCACAAAGCATGTTAAGGGGACCCCTTCGGAGCCAAAAATCACACTAAAGTGCCCTCTCTGGAATCAAAACTTGTGCTAGATGCCCCCTTGGGAGCCAAAATGCAGGTTAATTGCCCATTCTAGGTTCACCACCTATCACATTGGGAAGTTTCCAGATGACAGCACGTTGGTGGGCCTCATCAGAGACGACAACGACCACGACTACAGAGAGGAGGGGGAGCAGCTGGTGGACTGGTGCAGAGACAACAGCCTGATCCTGAGTGTGGAGAAGAGGAAGCTTTTTTCTATATCGCCCAGCCCTACAGCAGCACCAAATTCCTGGGGGTGCACAACACAGAAAACCTCACCTGGAATGTAAAACACCATATCACTGGGCAAAAGGGCACAAAAGCGCTTATACATCCTGCAGAGAATGAGGAGAGCCCACCTGCCCACCTCAGTGACCCCTCACACCCCCACCATGGACTGTTCTCCCTGCTGCCCTCTGGGAAGAGGCTTTGCAGCATTTGATGCAGGTGCAGATGATTCTGCAACAGCTTCTTCCCCACCACCATCAAACAGCTGAATGTTGAAAAAACACTAAATGATGTCACAGGCTCTGCATAGAACTGACCGTATCAATACGTTTTTTGCACCATGTTTTTTTCTCCCAAAATTTTTACATTTGATCACTGCTGCACTATAAGAAATGGAAATGTCTTGACAGATGTAAAAAACAAAATTGCGTTTTGTATACACTCTGTGTACGCAAAATAACAATATTGGTTGTCTAAGTCTACGACAGGATGATTATGCACCTTTTAAAACTGTTATCAGACCTTGTGGGATTAAAAAAAGACATATATTTTAATCTCTGGTGAGACAAGTAATATTCTTTCTGTGTTTTGGAAGTTTTTTTTAATTGTGTTGGGAAAAATATCAAGGTTATTAAAAAAATCTGTTTTTCCTCCAAGCCTGTTATCAGTTCATTAAACAGTTTTTTAAGCTTCTGAAGTGCATTATTTTCCAAATTGAATAGAAATTGTATTTTAATCATAGCATAGGACGTTGGACCACTGAGCAAAACTCCAAGCTAGAGGTATAGGTTCTGTACTGTATCTTTGTGCATGGTGGCTGTTTTTCAGCCATTATCCATGCCTTATGCATTTTACCCAAACCTGAATGGGTGTTGTTTTGCCAGTCCTATCAATGCTTTGCTTGCTTCTTCTTGCTTGCTTCCTTGCTTCTTTCCTCTCAAACTTTTATTAAGCTTCTTTAATATATTCTTTTGTGATACCTTTCTCTTTAGAAAGCTTATAGTTTGAGTTTATTGTTTGCTATTGCCATAATGCAAACATTTTCAAGCAGTCCATTTTAAAACACTTTGAAAGGTGTATAAAACCTGGACACACTTACCTTGCAAAATTTCTTATAAGTGTTGTTGTGAATTAGTACTGTATATATATATACATACCCTTATATACCCTATATATACACTTTTATCTCCTCTTTCTTTCATCTTTTCTCTTTTTTTCTGTTTCTCCTTCCCTGTTCTATTTACATTGCAGTGCCCATAAAATCTGTAATACTCCCTTCATGAATTATAATAAAACTATTTATATGCATAAATCAAGTGGAACACTATGGTGATATATCCGTAAT